TTTCAAAATTCACACACAAAGCACCATTTCAAACAATTGAAAGCACCATTTCAAACAATTGAAAATCAAGGCAAGTTGATCTAAGCAAGTAACTAAGAGCCCATGGATAACCATGGATAGAAAGGGTGCTAATACCTTCCCTTTCTATAATCTACTCCCCGAACCCAAGAAAACATCTCAAAGGTTTTTACTGTGCTTTTTAACCTTTCCTTAGGATAAAATAAAAAGTCGGTGGCGACTCTTGCTCAACCGAAACATTTGCGAAAACAAACGCAAAACCCAAGTCAGTTCTCCCACCGTATCACACCAAGTAACACAATAGTATTTGACAGTCCTTCGTGAGTATCTATATCAGCTTGTCCTTCTTCATCTTCATCATTGAATACAAAAGCTATGCTCTTGTTCTTTTTCTCAGACTTGTCACTAATATCCAGTTCAAAAGTTTGAAGTGAGCCAACGAGTTCATCAACCCTCATGTTGCTGATGTCATGAGCTTCTTCAATGGTTGTCACCTTCATGTCAAATTTCCTAGGTAGAGACTAAGAATATTTTTAACAAGCTTTTCTTCTTGCATCTTTTCTCCCAAGGCACTAGATGCATTTTCTATTTCTAGAACCTTCATATGATAGTTCTGGATGGTTTCATCATCATTCATCTTTAGATTTTCAAATTTAGAAGTGAGAAGTTAAAGTCCCGACATCTCCACTTTAGATGTACCTTCATGAGTTGTCCTGAGAATTTCCCAAGCATCTTTGGCTACAGTACAAGTATTAATTAACCTGAAAATATTCTTTTCCACTCCATTGAATAGAGCATTCAAAGCCTTGGAATTTCCAATAGCTGATTTATCGTCCTCTTCAGACCAATCTTCCTCTAGCTTCAAAGACCCATTCCCATATTTGTCCTTATCAACAGGATGATCACATCCTTTCAAAATAACCTTCCAAGCTTTATTATCCATAAATTTCAGAAAAGCTATCATTCTAGCCTTCCACCAGTCATAATTTGAACCATTTAACAAAGGTGTTTGTTATTATATCCTTTTTCCTTATCCATAGTACCAAAAATATTCTCTCTGAAGCTCACCTAATAAATAAAACAGGGTGTCCGCTCTGATGCCAATTGAAATTTTGACACCTGCAATACAGATGTCAAGACTGATGTCCTAACACCAACACAATGTCAAGACAGATGTTATGACATCATCTGCTGACAGAAAACACTTGCTAAAACTAGATATTATGCAGAAATCAAATTGTAGAAAAATAAACAACACAATCAACTGTTAACCCAGTTCGATGCAACATCACATACTCTAAGGACTACCAAGTCAGGAAGGAAATTCACTATGATAGTATTAGTTCAAAGCCTAAACAACCCTAGTTTACAACTTGTCTCTTAATTACTATCTTATGCAACTTCTACCTATACACCTACTAGATATGAGATCCCCCTCTCACTTCCAATCACCTTAGTGATAACTACACTCACAAACCCGTGACTAGAATCAAAACAACCAAATATAAGATTACGCTTCCAATGAACAATACTTAACTTTTTGCTTAAAAGCTCATGAGTGAGAACAATACTTAGTTTTACTTAAAAGATTTAAACTAAGAACAATCAATCAACCTCAATGTATCAAAGATACATGAGTGACATACAAGGAACACATGGAAACTCTAAAAGACTTCCAAAATCCTAAACCCTTATACATCCATGGTTTCTTCAATGTGAATGCTGGTTATTTTAGGTTTAGCAAGTCCTTATTTATAGAATCTTGCAGAATGAACTTGGACTCTTCATATTAAATCTAATCTTCTAATTTTAAATCAGCTGCAATATCTTCACACAAAAATATGAACAAATCTTCAAAGTTTCCTAAAAAGTCTCAAAGATCATTTTTAATGAAACTAATTAAAATCTGCATTGTTCCTAATAAAATCTTCTTGACCTGCGAAAATCAGTGAGATATATCCAACAAGATCTCATATAATTAAAGAAATAACAACAGAACCTATTGTACAATTGGGCAAGATGTCAAGACATCTGACTCAACATTTGTCTGATATACGTGACAGCAGAACCTGTCATGACAATTGGTCAAGATGTTGTGACCTCTTACTCAACATCAGTTCAGAACCATGTTTTAGTAAAATTTATGCCAATCATAAAACCATGGATTTAACAATTATTGAATCATCTTTAAAACACAATTAATCTCTTTGGATACGATAATACTACACTTGCTATTCACACTGCAAGAACACTCTATTTGGTACTATTGAAGCAGTAAAGCGGTAAGCAAAAATAAGTATTTATTTAGCTTTATCATATCGTCTCCACAGAGATTAGTGTGAGAGAAAACTATCGTTCAACAATCTCAATCTCTCTAAGTTTAGATTGGGTTTGCGGAAGGTAAAACATGGGAATTTAAATAAAGCAAATAAACAATCATTTGTAGCCCAAGAGAACTCATTCTGGAATTGCATGTCATTCTACCCGTCAAATACTTAAACTTGCTGATCAATTGCACTCAACCTACAATACGCATCAAAATCACCTAGCATCGCTCAAGACACACCACAATAGAGGTTATGTCTAATGCAAAGTCACAAACAACCATATCACCCACGTTAGTGATTTCACGCGCGACACTAACAACACGGAGGCATTAAGCTCTGATACCCATAAAGATTATTAGCTCTAAATCTATCTCTAGAATCTAGAAACTAATAGACATTCATCCCTAATCAAGATCCGTGAGGCATATTTTTATGACAACCCGAATCCAAACATAAAGCAAAAAGATAAAGGACAACATCAATAATGATTTGTAAAGCAGATTTTATACAATCCCATGATCAACAAATGTACATAAAACAAGAGTAAAATATACATATAAAATCTACCATTGGAATGATACACAGGGAAGAAGGAGAACAGGCGGAAACTTCTTGCGGTGTCGATGTGATTAGAGACAACACGCGGCCTTACGGTGATATGTAGAACCCAATGATGTTGCTTGAACCTCTAAACTACAAAGAATCAGATCAAAGCTTAATTTTAGAGAGAAGAGATGATAAAAAATAATAAAACATGTTTCTGAACTATTTATACAAAATACGAAATTATAAACCGCGCTAAGCGGGCCTGGCGCGCTAAGTGCGACTTCCTAAATTAACACATTAAACCGCCTAAAATCCCGCTAAGCGGGCTATTCGCGCTCAGCGGCCTCCAAAATCACATCTCTGCCTAAACAGTACGAGGATACAATGCTAAGCGGTCTCAGCGCGGTAAGTGCACTCTCTTGTACAAAACTTCCAAAAATGCTTTCTAAACTGCATCTCCGGAGTCGTATCTTCGTCACCTTATTCCTCAATGCTCCAAATACGCGACAAATCTTACAAAAAGACATTAAAACTATCAAACGATACACAAATGAATCATACATATAATTATACACTAAGTATACATATTTACAAACAAAGTGGGGATTTATTCAACGAATCTTAACTAAAGAACCGATAAGTGTCACAAATTACATACATAAAATATCGACATTTTGGCACTTATCAGGTACTTACACCAATGTTGGAATATCTTCATGAAGGCCTAAGCGACCATATGTAATTAGGAGAGAGTCATTCTCAAATGGTTCAATACCTCCACTTTGAAAATGTTGAAAGGGAGACTAAATCTCAATATGGAGAACATACACTCATGAAATGACATCGAACATTCGTCAAAGGAGCTACACAAACTTTTGAAGGGGATGATATAAGTTTACCCCTCCCCAGACTCAAAATATTAGACTCAAAGGGCAAGTGCCCGTCAAAGAAACAATAATCTGAAGCAGTGTTTTAAAAATCGGACCGAACCGGCCGGTCGGATCAGAAGCCAGAGGGATCATCAGCCTGATCTTATTGCTGGGTTGGGTATGATATTGAACCAGTGGGAATATGTCAAAGCCGGTCAAAACTGATCAAAAATTGATGAATCGACGGTTTTAGAAAATCGATGGGTTAAATGCATGTTTTTTCTTGGACAAAACAACACCGTTTTGATAATTTTTAAAAATGAAATTAAATAAAAATATTATTAGAATTTATTCAAAACTTATTTAGAACACAACTTTCCATTGTTTTCCATTAGATCGAGTTCAAAATTTATTTAAATTTATATTTTATATTATTTTGTTGTGTGTGTGTGATGATTATATTTAGAATTTGAATTTAAAAAATGAATATGTAAAATTATGATATTTTAAAATTTTGTAGGCGTTGTAATATTTTTTAGAGACCGAGTCATTTAGTTAAACAAATTTAATAATTATATAATCCTATTATAGAGAACGATTTATTCAACTGAATTATTCAATTTAATCTGATTTAGTCATACAGTTTAACCAATGACTTAATGGTTCGACCAATGAATAATGACTTAATACCTTCACCAATTTATAGACTCGGTCCAAATTTTAAAATATTACTCATTGAAGAAATTATTCATATGAAATCAAATTTAATGATGAAAAAATAATTTCAATAGTTTTGTTTATAAAATATTTAGCATTTTTTAACAAACTAACAAATATATAATGATAAACTTAATCATTACTCTAATCATCACTATTATTAAAAAAAAAGAGTTTTTTTTTATAAAAATACTAAATTGAAAAAGATTATAATAAAGAGAAAAAAATATGCATTATCAACTAATGAAAAATATGTATATAATGAAAAAATATAAAGAGTTTAATCGAATGTATGTATAATATTGGTTTAATTGTATGTGCACTATCAATAAACTTTATGATAAATTTGATAAAAATAAATTAACAACATTACATTTTAGTAAAAAAAAAAATCAAAAACCAATATAGTAGATTTTTTGTTAAAAACAAAACAATATAGTAAATAGAATAATTTTGTAAACGAAAATAAAAAGAACAAAGGCTTTTGCATCGTTCCTCCGCCATCGTCAACGCCGCGGGAGTGATGAGTTCCGCCGGTATAGCCTTGCCCGCTCTTTTTCTCGATTCAACATTTTTCATTCACGATCTCTGTTGCAACTTTTATTTATGTTTTCTGTTACTATCTTTCTCTTAACTAGATTCGTTTTTTTTCTAGGGTTTATAGTGAAATTGGATAGATTTTTAACACAAACCCTAATTCACAACAATGTTCCACCTCTTTTACTGTGTTATTTTTAATTATTGTTACAAAATTTGATTTCATGGTGGTTGTTGTTTTTCTTCTTGATAGTTTTATCGTTTAGATGATCCAAAAAAATATTCTTTTGTGGATATATGATGGATTTACAATTTGGGTCTGTTGTTTCAGATACATTCAATGGGGGTTCTGTACAATCAGTCAAAGAACCTGTTCCTGGGGCAAGCTTGGAAGCGAAACCGGGTGTTACCGGTGAGGTTTCGGGAGTTTTGGTTATGTTCTGCGTTTTAAGAGAATTATTTTTCTTCTGTAATTGAGATTTATGGTTATTGTTGTTAATAAACTTGTTCATATGCTTCTTGTTTTGCTAGAGGTGAAAGCTCAAGTTGATGCTATGTGGGAACAAATGAATAAAGGAGTATCGAATAAAGTTATTAGCGGTTTTATGAGCAAGCCTAAATCTACCTCAAAAAGCAATCCAAAGAAGAGATCTTCTGTAATACTTTGCTGTTGTTTTGTTTTTGATTTTTTTATGGCTGTTGTTGTTTTAACAGTTATTAGCTTGATTTTAATTTCGGTCAACTCAATGATTTTGAATGTAGAACTGGATGTCTTATTTGGGGTTGGCACCAAAGGCAACTGAATCTATTGTGCAAGGTGCTTCGCAGAACAAATCTGTTGTGCGGCAAAACAGTGCAAGTGATGAAGGCAAGAAGTTTGCTGCTGCTGCTCTTGCTGCAGTGAAAGTTGATGCTGCCACTTCTGCGTCAAGCAGGGGGAAACTTGTGGTAAGCACATTGACATCTAGTGCACCTATTTTTGGTTAATCTAGCTGAAGTGGAAAAATGTTTGTGCAATTAGTCAAAAGGGGGAGGGGAAGGAAACTATATGAAAAGTAGACTGTTAGTTGAAGTTTATTTTTCTTTTTAATTTTTCAAATTCAACATGAAGGCATGAACAATTATATCAAATAAATCAGTGACATGGGATGCTTAGCTTGTTTGTTGCTATTCCACTCAGTGTTGTGGAATAGCGGCTATGGTGTTGCGGAATCTTAACAAACTGCTATTGCTCTACAATATGCTATTTAGTACATAGTCTTGTCAATAGCAGCTACAACACTGTACAATTATATGAAATAAACCTGTGACACAGGATTAGCTTAGCTTGTTTGTTGCTGTTCCAATCATTGTTGTGAAACAGAGGCTATAGCTTAGCGGAATTCAAACATATCGCTATTGTCCTGCGATATGCTATTTAGTACATAATGTTGTCAAATAGCGGCTATAACACCTGTAGCATAGCGAAGTTAGAACAGAGAGCTACTTTACATGATCCACAATAGCTCCAATATTTGATTTGCTAGGGCTTCCTATTGTTTAGCCCAACAAATTTAAGCATACCGTGCAATGGATAATTTTCCATTTGAAGTGGTTTGAATTCAAATTTGGTTGTTGAGTGACCGACTATTATTTGTAGTACCTACATTGCATTTGAGTTTCAATGTTATGTTCATTTGAAGTGGTTTGAATTCAATTTGGTTGATGACTGACCATTATTCATAGTACTTATGTTGCATTTGAGTTTCAATGTTTTGTTCATATTCGTTTCCTTTATCATTTTTACCGAGGTTCGAGACTTTTCTGGTCAAGAAATTGAAATATTATTCATAACACCTACGTTGCATTTGAGTTTCAGTGTTCTTTTCATTTGTTTCCTTTACCAGATTACTGAGGTTCGAGACTTTGCTGGTCAAGAAATTGAATATAAAAAGCTCGTAGATTCGGATTCAAAGGAGGCAATTGAAAGAGCCAAAGCCCCCGCACCTTCTGCCGTGGATGCCGTCCTTGAACAGATCAAGAAGAAATCAAAGCTCAGTGTTCTTGATAAGACCAAAAAAGACTGGGGAGAATTTAAGGAAGAAAATAAGGGACTAGAAAATGAGCTTGATGTTTACAAGAAGAGTTCAAACCAGTATTTGGATAAGGTTTCCTTCTTGCAGCGAACAGATTACCGTGAATATGAGCGAGAGAGAGATGCACGGCTGGCTTTGCAATCTAGGAAGCGACCAGATATGCAAGATGATCCAGTATAACTGAAGGAAGTTGTAGTGTTGAGTTGCTAACTTTGGCGAATTATTTATGGTTTTATCATGAGCTGATTATCTAGGTGTTCCTGGCAATTTCTTGGTCTCCAGAGGAAAAAAAAGATCTTTGATCATTACTATTAGTGAGTGATGATGCATTTTGAGGTTCAAGGTTTAGAGTGCTTTCAAATGATGTGGTACTTGATGTGGATGAGGAAAACAGGGGACTAAAATACCCAAGTGTAAATTTTAGACTGACATTAGCACATTAAATTCCATGATGAGAGCCTCAAAGAACATGTCATTCACAACTCGCCGAAGTTCATAGTTTCCAAGAAGCACTGTGTCTGTCAATTTTCTGGCAAAAAAAAAAAAGAAGTATTTTCTGTTTATTTGTCAACTCACGGAAGTTACTAGTTTTTAAGTGGTGTTCCAAATACTTTTAACTTAATGAAGTTTGTGAGAATTGAATGCTTAAGCTTCACTCTTTGGGTCCTTCAGGGTCTTCAAATCCTAACAGCTGTTTTTTTTTTTTTTTGGTTAATTTTTGGTTAAATTCAGTTTCAATTGTTTGTGATTTTTGCCAATAAATGAAACTTAGGAACATCAGTTTAAATATTTTCTGTTAGTGTTTTATGGTTTGTCCTGATTGGTGTTGGGATTATGGTTGCATGGGGATTGCAAGGTTGATAGGATTAATCTAGTATGACAGGAATTTAACAGTAAATTGGCATAAAAAGATGGGTGAAAAATGTTATATTGATTGTGGAATGACAAATGGAATCAAGATGATTATGATAGTGGATTACTGTGTATGAAAAGTCATAACTATCATTTTTCCGCCCTTCTAAAAAAATCTGTCAGAAATTTTTTGGATATTTTTTCTTAGGGTGTGTTTGTTTCAATTTTTGAGAATGTGATATTGGAAACAACAATTTTATATTTATTTCAAGTTTAAAAAAATTGTTTCCAAATATTTTTTATTCTCAGGAATGTTGTCACACATGAAATTTCTCAAGTTTATTCTCATGCTTTGAAGGTGAGAATCCAACATTTCCATGGAAATAATGATCAACTGATCATAACTTTCCACTAATATTCATATTTATTTTTATTTTTATTTTTAATTTTTATATATTTTAAATTAAATAAAATCTGTAAAGATTCATGGGACATATAATTTTTGCCCAAATACTTTCATAAGAATATTATTCTTAGGAATAATCCTCGGAATAAGATTTCAAGAAAAGACATTTCTTAACTTGAAACAAACACATCCTTAGTTTGTCAATCATCTCCCAATTTTTTTTTGAAGTTAGGGAGTCTCCACTTCACTAATACTTCTACTTCACCTTGTTCATTTCTTTTAGTATCCTTGACTTCCTTTGATATAACTTTCAACTGTCGTTTTTCATGTAAATAAGATGACAGTATAACTTTCAAATGCCATTCTTCATTCAAATAAGTTGATAAGGGTTAAATCCCAACTATGGGAGATATGTCATTCTTCTTTACGTTGGTTGTCAACTGTATAACACAATTCTCTCCTTTTATGAGCTTAGTGTAGCGGTAAAAATGTTGAGACTAAGCCATTGGATTGACTTAATTCGTACATATCAAAATAAAAATCGCCACCGCGCTTTATTGTTTCCTGAAGAATGAGAAAAGAGCGAATAACCCAAAAAAAGGAGAGAGAATCTAGGTACGGGGGTTTGTTATGCAAAGGGAAGGTATTAGCACCCTAAACATCTACGGTACTCCGCAGGAACCTCTTTGAAAATTTATGTATCTTTGTTATAAGTGTTGTATATAAAAATAGATGGTGGAGGTGAGAAGAGAAGTATTTTTTTTTAAATAATTTTTGTACTCGCCGTGGTTGCGAACTTTTAGTGTCTACGTACCACCTTTCGTGCAATAGGGGATCAGGGTACTCGTAGTTCATCTTTAAATTTTTTTAAAACACATGTGTGTTGGTTACTTTTAAGAGACGAGACATCATCGTCATCTCCAAGTGAAAAACATACTTACTATCCACGATTATGAGAAAGGAGAATTTGCATCATCTCAAAGTGAAGGATATAGTTTAGATTTTAAAATCAACAAAGCCTCACTCGACAGTTAAATAGAAAATATCTCACTTCATTATATCGTAGAAGTATAGTAGCTCGCATCACTACAAGGATTGACAAGAGTCTAGTCTTTTGAGAAAATTTTAAAGTATAAAGCCAAAGTGGCAAAATGATTTGAATGAGATTGATTAACTTTTAGTCTTCTCACAAAAATGTCAAAGCATGATTAAGTTGATTAAAGTTTGATTAAGAAAATATTTTTTTGAAAATGCATGGATCTAAGTCCAAGTTATTGTGAAAGCGATTCAAGTTGGAAAACAAGAAGAGTTTTGAAAAGGAGAGAGAAGATTTTTAAAATTAAAGAAGATGAGAGGAGATGAAGGGACTATTCTAAAGCATAAGATAAAAGCTAGGGAAGAGAACTGTCTAACCAACAAGAAGTTAACACTTGACACAATGAGTCAATGTAGAATTATCATCCTTTGAATTGAAACCAAGCAAGCAAAGATACTAAACCTCTTAAGAATACCAAGCTTCAGATGCATTAAGTCTTCTCAAAATTGGGCAGAATAACGACTGTATATAGAGGAATTCTCAACCATAGATAACATATAATCAGAATAACCTGCACACAAAAAAAATTGACCCAATGTCTTGGGGTAAACCCCCAAGAACTTCAGACAAAATAACAAACAAAGTCACAAGGTCCCAAGGGTATCAAGACTTCTAATCCTAAGTCTAAGAGGTCCACAACTCTATTATACCAAGGATAGTAACCAAATAGTCCAAGTAACCTTAAAATTTTATTGTTCAAGTTGGTTATTAAGTATCTTCAAAAAGAAAATGAAAAGCTCAAGTGAGCAAAAATCAAAATGACATAAAGATAAATGCTCAAGTGAGCAAAGATAAAAAATGACATGAAATGTAAATGCCAAAATAAATGGTACGTGAAAGTTAAGGCATAAAGTAAAAGTATAAAGTAAAAGTCAATTGTTAGTGAGTTAGAAATTAGAGGTTAGTTGAATGACCATCTTGAAGCTTGCATTTGAAGACTCATTAGAAGATTGATAAAATCAAAGCTTCTCAACAACAAGTTTCATTTGCTTTTTGTCAAGTATATCATTCATTTTAAATTCTCGAGGCAATAACATATGATTAACGATGTTTAAATAATCCACTTAGACCAAAGTTTATGATGATTCATTAGAGGATTGATAAGACCAAAGCCTCTTAACAATGAACCTCAAGGTTATTGGATCAAAGGTTTCAAATTAAACATACTTGGATTGTAAACATGAGTTTGGGCCATGAATGATCATTTCTCGAATCGGGACAAAATTTAGCGCTATGTTAAGCAATCGTAAGTAGACTTATGTAGAAGTTGCACCTATTTTGAGGTCGGTCAATAGCAATCTATGTACCATATATTTAGAGAAGTGATATGTAGATCATTAACAACATGTAGCACATGTAAGAAAGGGATAAGATAAAGAGGAATGAGATGTATTATATGAAATTAGGGTTTCAAATATCATCAACATCATTCATCCATTTTGGTGGATTTGGTTTTTCAACCTATCAATATCCAAGATCCAATGAGGTTGAAGAATTTGTCACCAAATGAAATCTAAGTCAGGACCATACAAAAATAATAAAATAATGTTTAATAAAACAATATTTAAATGGTTAATAAAAGGAAAATAATTGGTAAAATACACAAAGTATATTAAAATACCAAATAAAATTCCTAAAAAATAGTCAGAGGTCAAACATGAGTCAATAATAGTTGACAAAAAATTTTCAGAGTTTTTTAAAGTCAGAAACTATTTTTAAAATTTAAAGAAATAAATAAAATAAAACAAAATTTGTAAAAAAAATAGTAAAGTCAGAAATAAAAATAAAATAAGGTTATCAATATTTTTTAAGAGGTCATTAGATCCTTCCATAATTTTTCCAGAATTTAAAAAGACCATAAAGTATTTTTAAAACAATTAAAATAAGACAAAAAATACAAAAATTATGAAAAATATCAAACATCAAAATAAAAATATGAAAAAATATTCACTAAGTCAGAAATAATTCAAAGTATTTTTGTATATTTTTTTCATGATTTTTGGATAAAAAATATAAGAGTTATGAATTTTTGAGATTAAAACAAATTTTGTTAAAATAAATAAATCAGAAATAATGTGAGGCGTTGGATCCAATTCATTAAAACACACTGGCACATCTAATGGCTCAAGAGTGATGATGTATGGTGATCCACAGTCAACAAGCACACACTAAAGTCACGATAGTCAGACCAATCACAATATTTCAATTGTACTGCTCTCATTGGTTGAAGAAGTCACGCAGGTCATCTTCAACTTCCAGCTACCCTGCAACTAGGGAAAGATCATGATTCTTAAATCTGTAAATTTAGACACTCATAGTGGTATCGTTAGACGTATCTCTTCAAGACGATCACAACCACATCCTCGCGCCAAATTTATATAAAACACAACTTACTCGATTTGGGAAAAATCAGAGATGTTTTAAAAAAATTGAAATCGAAACCAGAAGCATCAAAATTGAGTTAATAGCAAACATCAGTGAACATCATAAACCATTCCAGTAATTTGAGTTAGAAGATTTGGTGCCTTAAACTACTTGAATGAAATCAGATGAATTTGCTCTGCAATTGGACTTGGCTAGCACGATTTAGGACACCTTAAGGCTTGGTTCTTCTTCTGTTAGCTTCAGTGAAGTTCAAGGATGAAGAATCAACAAAGAAATTGGATTGAAAAGTGGAGATAAGATGAATTCGAAAACTCAAAAAAGTAAGTTATGGAGAGAGTTTGGCAGGGTAATTTTGGCTGCCCAAGCTTGAGAAAATGAGAGGAGTGAGGTCCTCTATTTATATGGAAGTGAATGGTGCAAAGAATTGAGCAGAAAATTGAA